ATTTTTATCTTCTAAGAGAGTACAGCTTCTTGTGACTTCGGAGTTGAAGAAGGAATTGTGTTAGAAGACTTAAAGTTGGAAAAGTCATGCTCTCTATAGGCTGCAGCTGTTAGAATGAGGTTATCCTTTGCAGGCAATCTCATTACTCTGGGCCAAATTCAGAAATACTCTAACCTGCTTAAATTTGCTAATAGTCAAGAAAATACTCTTTAATTTTATCCAGGAGGGGATACATATTTATATGAACTGAGGGTTCAGCCCATCATGCTTTCTCATGTGTGTATAATCTGAGCATATGCTTCTAGACTATTGCTCTTGAATTAGAAATTCAGGCATGGGTAATTTTAGGTTGTTCTTTCTTGTGCTTAGTTTTAAAGAAATGGAAGTTCTTTTTGCTTAAGCACTATGTTGTGGTGTGGAGATAGGAATTGAAATTACAGTATCTAGAATAAACTTTTAGGTGACACTAATGCAAGGATTATTTGCTCTTAAAGGGTGTCTTCTTGTCTTTCAGTCTGGCTGCTTAGTTTTTGTATGAAGATAAGAATTTGGAGTAGAGAATATATTATTTACACTGGTACCATGTGTGGTATGTTCTATTGTGCTGTTATGGAAACTGCATTCTGACTGCTTTTAATTGTCACTGTATATATATTTTGTCAATAATACAGGAACTGTTTCTGTTTAAGCAATATGTATATTTATATATCTTGAATGTAGAGAACAGCATGACTTGCCTTTTGCCCGTTTTCATTCTTTGAATTTTTTCTGAGGAAGCAAAATATAAATACACAATAGCCTGGTATGCAAAGGGAAGTATACTAGCAAAGTGGAAGGAAAGACATTCAGAAACATGCCTTCCTTTAGTAGAAAGCCATTCTTCCCAGTATTGTGCTAGACAGCCTTCGTCTGAACAAAGCCACTTCCATAGTATTTGTAATTCCTGCATGTAAATTGTAACTTCCCGGGATATTCTTTAAAAGACATTTTAAACATCTGTTATATTGTGACATTTAATGTCTTCTGTGGTCATGTGGAAAGTCTGTGATAAAGTGAGGAATGAGTGCAGCAAACCACCTGACTCCCAGTCCTCCTTCTGTCCCCCATTGCTTTGAATTGGCTTTCTTTACTTTGCCAGCGTACCATTACTGACTATGAACATTATCATCTCATCAGGTTGCAACTGCGTTATTACAGTTCAACATACTCATTCCTATCTTTCTTTAAGGTCACTAAAATGAGATACTTAAAAGGCACTGTCTTGTTTGAAGTATTGAGATAATAAAAAAACACAGCAAAAATTTTAATATGTGCCAAGCCAGCCTCAGCTCCTGAATATGCAGCATTTCTATATCCTCCTGCAGCTCTCCAGCTGAAGTCCATGTTTTACCAAATTATTACTGAATTTCTTATCCAGAAAGGGTAATTCCTCAGCTCCCGCTTTCCTGTTTTGGTCTAGTGTGTATACAATGAGGCCCTAAGATGCATCAAGTCTACATGCCTTTCTTCTCTCCTCATTATGGATCCTAATGTATGTAAATCCATTGGAAGCCATTTAAGTGATAGGCTTACATGGCCATCCGCATGAACGAAGAAATTACACATGGTGTATAGGTAGCTGTCAGTTCTGCAAGTGTTGAAAACCTCTCTTCTCCTGTGTTTAGTCTGTTAATTTTGTGTTAGTTGAATTCCTGTCTTATTCTAGTCCTTGTCAGCTGGGTCAGGAACTTTGCTTTCTCCGTGTTGGAGTTAGCTTATATTGAATTTGAGAAGTAACTTCTAAATGGTCCTTATAATAGATAGCAGAGACCGTGAGGACAAGCAGTCAAATTCTTGATTAGCTGTTCTGCCAGAGAAGAATGAGTCAAAAACTATGGATGTCTTCCCAGGCAAGAATTCAGTGATGTTTCAGAGAGGTTTTTTTTTAAAGCTGTTTTCCCTGATAGTAATAAGTAAAACACCTTTTAAGCAGACAGAATACTCTCTTAAAATGAAATATGATGCTTCAGGGTGGTGGTAGAGGAACGTACTATTTCTGGTTCAAGTTGCATTTAAAAGATCATGGCTGTTAAAGCTCTTTTGTTAGTAGAATGAATCAGTATTGACTGCCTGTGTTCTGTTTCGGGTCATTAACTTGTCAGTTAATTGGAAAGCTTGTGAGGGGCTTCTCCATGATGGTGTTTTGTGGTAGAAGAAAACAACCTGAGAATAAACTTAGTTAAAAGGTGGTCATAGCTGGTAACTGTGGTTGGTTCATACATGGTTTTGATTGCTTTGTGCGAATTGTATGATGGGCTAATCTGTAAAGGGATAGGGGATTCCCACAGTATCACTCTGAAGGCAAACAAGGATTCAAAACAGGATCCTACTGTGGAATTCGTATCATAAATAATGCAAATACACTTGTAAGAGTCTGCATGAATGCTTCAACTGTAACAAAGGATTCTTCAGATTCAAGTCTGTGGTTAATGTAGCTATTCCTAGCTTGAGTCAAAATGATGATTTACTAATTATATTCTTTATTGATATGTGTCAGATTAATATAAAATTCTCTTAAAGCTCTAGTTCTGCTGTCATTGTAATAGCAGTGTGTGATTTCCTTATTTATTTTAGTGATTTGATAGATGCACATAAAAAAGTAATCTGGGTGTAAAGAGTCTGTTTCTTTCTGCTCGGTACCTGGATGTGAAAATCCTCATGGGCTTGTGCATCCTTGTTAGCAATGTAGACTTTACAACTGGGTCTTAGTTTGTAATATTCTTTTGAATGTATGGTTTAAAAAGAAGTTAAAAATTCATCTCTCTTCCTATTATCTGTGTGAGTTTTGCAGAGGAGTGAAACATTGTATGAACCGGGGTGACTTTCTGTGAATAAAAGTAAGCAGATAAGAGGAAAGGCGCATGGAAGACATTTGTTAAATAGGGGTGCCATCTTTATACTATTGTTCTTCTGGCTATAACTGCACTTTACATTTTATTGTGGCCTGGGTCTCTAGAGTTGAATTTTACAAGGCATTTTCAGAACAATTGGATCAGTCGCCCATTATTCATACAATTACACACTGTAGCCTTGCTGCTCCTTGTTGACATCTGTGCACAAAGCCCAGCTCTTTTTCACATAACTTGACCAGCTCAGACACTGATTGTGGGAGATGCTGAAAGTCACTGAGAGCTCCAGAGAAAAGAAATGGCTGAATAGTTCATTCCCTCTGGCATGCCCAGAGGCAAGCAGGAAGTTGATAATGGCATCATTACACATGTGATATTTTGTGGTTTGCCTATATATTGCTATAGAAAGAGAGAAACTGGAGACTGCTATGTGGGAAATGTTGTTAAACCACTTTTACATAGCTAGCCAGCTGCATTTCTGTTTGTTGCCTTACACAGGCATTGACTTATACTGTTATGAGCTATTTCTGAGGGCACTGCCTCATCTGGAGCTGGAGGGACCCCTGCATGCTGTGGTGGTAATGAGGTGACTGGCCTTGCTGGCTGTATATTGAAAAGGTGTGTGCTACATGAAGTAGGGTATTAGGGAAAGTGATACAAATAGCTGTCTCATGAATGGGATTAAATGATACGCTAGATAGCTGATTTCTGCCTCTGAGGCTGTCTCCTGTGTGCCAGCCTTTCTGTAGGCGGTCAGTAACTGAGCACAAGTCCAACTTTGTGTGCTTGGCTTTCAGACTGAACACAAATTCTGGCTCTTTAAACAAGACTCAGTATATGCTATGCTTGGAAAATATGAAGAAGTAAGATTTCAAAAGAAAACTGAAATGCATAGAGGTAGGCAGCAGGGATAGTGTGCATGTCGAAATGGGCATTCAGTCTTAACTTTCTGAATAACAGTGACTTGTGTTTCTTTCACCTGTAAAATGAATACAATAATGCCTTTTCTTGAGGGAGTATCTTTGAAGTAAACCCTGTGATGTTTCTGAAATGTTTGGATACTTCAGTGCTGAACACTAAAGAAAAGCTCAGAAATAAATTAATAGTTCTTTCTTTGGCAAGAATATTAGCAGTAGACTGTGAAAGAAGTACAATTTTTATAACGCAGCTAAAAAGAAGAATTGTAATGCTGCTGTGGGGAGTGCTGTCATGTACATTGAATTGAGGTGTCTGACAGAAAACCAAATAGTGTGTGATAACGTAATTGAACACTGTATGAAAGACTGCCTGCTGAGTAGGAGGGAGGGAAGTATTAAAGTTGAAAAAGTAATCTCTATACTAACCCCCAATGTTTGACTTGACTTGGATTATTTTTTTTTCCAAGTTAAAAATGTAACTTGTGAATTTACTTACAAGCACCAAAGATAAATATTTATGTTAGGTTCGGTAATATCAAAGTAATAAACCTATTTGGTTTTATATGTGAAAAAAACCTTTGAATTTCTTCGTATAAGCATGAACAATGCTTCAATTTCTGCTCGCTGTTGTATCAATTTGATACAAGTATTTTGTAGGTTTTTATGAAATTAAACTGAGTAATGATATTTCATATAAAATTACTGTTAGAACAAGTGACTGTAGTTGAACTTTCCCTAGCAGGGTTGGAAACTGGGTTATAAGAGAACAGTTAACTGCAAACTCCTTATGTCAGAAATGCCTTTATATTAGGTGTTTGGATGGTAGCCTAGCAAAGCATCAGTCCTGGACACTGCTGGGAACTCCTAAGATACTGGGGTTACACAAGAAATCATAATAGTGGTTCAAATGATAAGTAAAATGCATATACACTCAATAAGGAACTGTAAAGCTAGTGTATGAACTGTTTTGCAAACAAACAGAATTAAGTGGGTAGAAATTGGGTGGACAAAATTTTGGTTAGTCATTAGCAACACTAAAACCAAATGTACAGATTTTATCTTGGTTTTGGCTCTTTTGTGATAGTGAGAGTCATTTTAAAGCCTCTGTGCTTCCATATGAAAATGTGTCTTGTGTAGCAGTCTGTGATCAGCAGAGAAAGTCAACTTCACTTTATTTTATTTTAATCCCTTCTAGCCTTCAGGAAAAAGAGCAATCGTTCACCATGTCCATTAAAGAAACTACTGCCAAAGTAAGTACACATCAGTGTTCAGTTCTTCAAAATATTTTGAGAAGCAGATAATAGCTTGCATCTTAATAAATGGTCTGTGTTTTAGAACGCTGGTTTTGTGGCACTTCTTCTAAACAGATTCTGCATATAAACATTTTTAAACATACACTGCAAAAAAAAAACCCCAGCTTTTATATTTAGACAGGCCACAGAGATTATGTTTAAGAAGCAGGTGGAGTAATTTGTTGTTTTTTGGTTTATGTTTGCTAGTCTCTATTTAGGAAAAGTTAGGAAAAGAATCCTCAGCTTCATGAAATGAAAGTGAACTCTGGTCACAACTTAATGCTTTCACTCTTCATATAGAGCCTCTTACTTTCCTAGCTGACTGGTTTCATTGATGTAAAAGAAAAGCATAAATGAAGCACCTATCTTTCCCACCACACTAATACTAAACTAGCAATCTCATTCTTATTCCCCTTTAAAAATATAAAGAAAAGTGATATGGAATATTTAGCGTATCTTTTGTTTCTAACCAGAGATGTTAATACTTTTTCTTTAATTTTCTTATTTCTCATGGCCTCCTTCTGAGAAAGAGAATACTAAAATTTTCTTTTTATTTTAGCGAGTCACAGGACATCTTTGCTTCAAGAGAGCTCTAGAAAAAAAGGTCCATTTGTTGTAGCTGACCCATATTGGTCTATATGGAACAGGGAGTGGAAAATATTCCTGGCTTTTGATCAGTAATGAATTTATACTCTGAAATAAACTTTATTTTTTGTGCTCTTTCTCTAATAGCACACATCAAAATTAGTAAAAATTTTATCCTTTACAATCTATTCTTTCTAATCATCTCAACCAATGCTTTTGGCATGCACTGTTCAGAAGACTATTCAAAGGCTGCATCTCAATATCCCTCCCTCCTTTCCTACATAATTTTGAGCTTATTCTCCTCTATTCCTTGCTTTATGCACACATTTCGGGGAAAAAAAAATACTATACACCATTATAACATGATGTTTCCCCTATTTTTAAAAATATTATGAATAAGGTATCAAGGAAAAGATTGTAATTGACCTACAGATCATCTACTAAAATGAATGAGACATTGAGGACCTTAGTAATATGTTATTTCAAGCCATCTGCAAGCTAAACCAGATTTCACCTTCTACCCTGAAAATGTGTGTCTTTTGAAGTTTTATTTTACAGCTATAGTATCTAGAGACTTTTTCAATAAGACCTGAAACATTGGATAACAATTGAAGTCTGCAAGGTAGAATTCCACAGCCTGTTTGTTCTTTTAAATATTCAAGAGATAAAATATTATTTTAATTTCATTCCATTCCTGTGTGATGTCTTTTATTTATTAGAGAAGATAAATAGAAAGAACGTAATGAGACTCCTCCAAATCATTTATTGGTTTATTTATTCAGATTGTCTCATCCTATTAATTTTTTTCTGAAGCTGAATAGAGCTGATCTTTTAAACCTTTTCATTGTATGGGGAAAACACTGCTTTGTCAAAGGTCTTTTTGTTCCCCTGTGCCACTGGTATTTCTGTGGCCTTTTCTGCCTTATCTGTATTGTTTTCAGCTGAGGCTGCAAAAGCTAAAATTTGCCTGCTAATGAAGGGAACAATCCCCCTTATCCACCACCACCCTTCAGAAATTAGTATCTGCCTTTGCTAATGGCAAGATTGTGCTGTGATGGGAGATCCAGGTGGATTGTCGTCTTTAGGCAGTGTAAAGTGAATTTCTCTTTTTTTCCAAGGTGCTGTTGTACAGAAATGTGAAGGTTATTAAAAAATTATTATCATTTTTTCCTTGAAATGGTTGGAGGAAGCGTAAATTTCAGCACTTTAATCAGTGTCCTTGTCCCTGTTTCTGCTGCCTTAGATTAAAATTGTATGCTGGAAAGATGGAAGAGGATGACAATAGGCAAATTTTCTTTTGATATTTTGCTGCTTTTCATCTTGATTCCACGTATCTTTGCTAAACAGCATCCTACTGGTTTCAGATAGACTGCTTTTTTGGGTAGCATCTGTGTGTCTGAACACAACTCGTAAGAAATACTCCTGAACAAGAGCATCTTGTTTATGGTTTGTGTGCGGTTTTTAGGTTTTGTGTGGGGTTGTTTTTTGTTTGGTTTGTTTCGTGTTTTATTTTATTTTTTTATAGTCTTCTTTAAAAACCCCCACAAACCACCAAAGAAAGTAATATTTGCCTGTAAAGAACTTCACTGAAAGGGAGGGTTTTTTAGACTTGGAGCTCGTTGGACCATGGGCTACAGCAGAGCTGGTCACTGACACCAGGGAAAGGGCATTGCTGGGGGCACAGGTGGTTGCACTCAGACTGGTTAGAGAAGAATGGGAGCAACAGAGGAAGCTGGCTTTGTGAATGTTCATTTTTGTCAGCTAATAAATAACCTTTCCTTAGTGTCTGAATAAGCTACTGTAATGAATAATTGTAGCTGTTATTAAGATAAAATAATTAGAAAAAAAATGAAAAGAATTGGAGCTTGTAGAGTAGAACTGATCTAATGTCTGAGCAGTACTATTAGTTTAGAGGATGTTACATTATTTTGCCTCTCCTAGTTGCTCATTTAGTTTTGTTGAACTGTGCCATATGATAGCTCTGAAGATTAATGTTGTTCATTTATTTACAGAATACACGTGACATAGATACAAGCAGAGGCTTGGTAATGTACTTATCTCATGTTCCAGAAGAATCATCTCTGTGATTTAAGAGGAGCAGCCTCTGGTTCCTGCATTTTGCCCGTTAATAGAGTGCCAGTGAGCTTTGTTCTGATGGTAGTGCATACAAAAGTGGACAGTTTTCGCTGGAAACTGATTAAACCTCCCAGCTTATTTTGCATAATTGCCAAACAGCTGTCTGGTGGTAATGACTTGAAGTTACTAGCAGCATGGGATATATTCATACAGTTTTCCTGGAGCTGAAAGGTTCCCTGTCTAACTGCAGTTCACTGAGCCATTCAGTACCCCTAAAGAGAGAGAACTACTTAGAACAAAGTCATTAAAAACTTTCAGATTTATTCTGGTGCTCTGTGTGGGAATGGGTGAAGGATCAATCAAGAGCTTAAGAGTCAGGATTTAAAGGGAAGGCAGGGAGAGGTGACATTACAGTGAGAATGGATAGAGGTCAGCCTTCAGGAGAAGGACTTGGAGGTGTTATTTTGATGAGAAGCTCAACATGACCTAGCAATATGCATTTGCAGCACAGAAAGCCAACTGTGTCCTGGCCTGCATCAAAAGAAGCATGGTAGTTTTGTTGACTTAAGGAAAAGGTTAACAGATGCTCTCAGCTGAAGCAAGGGGATATTCATCCATTTAAAAGGATTTAGTTAGTGTCATAGCTGAATTATTGTAATTGTACAAACAGGTAAGCCATTAGAGCTGTAGGCTTTTGCTATTAGAAATTGAAGTGGTAACTGTGCTTCTGTTCACAGTGTGGTGTATGCACTTATTTTTGTGGCCAGAGAAGACAAGTAGGAAGGGAAACTTTCCTCTGTAGATTGCATTTCACATCTCTTCTCTTTGTAACTGACTGGTGCCTATCTTCACTATTGCTTTACTCTTGGTTCCAATGAATACAATGTTTTCTCAAGTGTCAGCTACAATTTTAAGTGTTTGATGCCTGCCTTCAGAACAAGGGATTTACCTTAGCTTGTTGAGGGATTTTCCTGTTCATTTTGCTTTCCTTCCCAAATGGTGCAGTATGGAAGAAACACTAACATTTTTGAGTGTGTGGGAGTTATATGAATTTTGTATGCTGTGTAAAGTCCTTCTGCAGTGGTAACATAGTCTTAAATTGGAAGTACAGAAACACTGTAACTTCCTTTTTTATTTTTCCTCCTATCTCAATGTTTTTTAATACCAGTCCTGATTCATTGCTGAAAAAACTTGCAGTTAAAAAGGTAAAAAAAGAGAGAGCAGGAAAGTCATAAACCTGAGCCCCAGTCAGCTGTGTCTCCTGGTTGTGAAACAAAGTATAGTATTGTCCTGGTTTAGCTTTATTCATTGTCTGTGTAGAGCATTAATTCTGGCTGTTCTGCCTGTTTTCAGTTAAGATGAGCAGCACTCTATTTTTTTTTTTTATAAAAATTACTGTACATTCTGTGCTACGGTATCTTAAACTCCATATGCTGGCTTATTTACACTCTGCTCCAGGCATCACTCTTAATGCTGAAATTGCACAGAATTTGTAAGATGGCCTTTCTTCTATGTGCAGTCTCAGTATCTAATAATGATACATGTCCTTTCTCATGCAAGTAGCTAATACTAGTACTTTTCACTATTTTTATGATAGAATGTGCGACGAAGCCTGGAAATTTTGATTCATGTTGGGTATTTCTGTAAAAACATCACTTTTTATTAAGCTTCTCTACCTTGCTGTATGATGTTCTGTTGTGTCTGTAAACCAAGAACATTTGAAGCCCTATTTAAATTGCCTTATATTTTACACTGAATCAATTGTATATCATGGCTGTCTGCCTTGATGTAGGTTTGCACGAGTCAGAAACTCTGCAGTACTTTGAGGAGGAAAGTGAGTGATATTGAGACTCAACTACCAGCTCTACTTGAAGCAAAAATGCTGGCTGCTTCAGGTAAGTTTTAAGTAATGAAAAAGACTAACACTGATGGGTGATGTGTTAGAGCACTTGCTGAGCTTTTAATATCTGAGACTTCCTAGGAAAGCTGATGTTCCCGTATGTAGATCCCTTGAAGTTATGGCAAGTCTGGGTAACCAGGATGTCTCCTGTGTTGTGTAAGGTGTTTCAGGCCCCTCTATGTGGTTGGGAAATACTGGTAAAGAGGATGCTGTGTGGTAGGCATTGAACATGCAAAGAACATATTTTTCCATAGGTGAAATTGATAAGTAATTATCAATAGCTGTTCCTGGACCTGACAAGTTATATGCCTATATAACTTATATACTAGCTAAGAGCATAAATAGACAGGAAAGACATGATAATTCCAATTGTGGCTTTAAATGGAATACAATAATTGGCACCTTCTGCTGTTCAGATCATTAAACAACTAATGCTGGCAGCAAAAGAGCAATTTGGCCTGTGGAGCACTTGTGCCTGTTATTTACAACCAGTAAAACACTGAGATGTGATTAGAGAGCCTGATATGTAACAGCTTTACATAGCATTTGTTTGTGATTACTGCACTGTTCTTGAATGAAAGAAGGCAAAGCACAGTTCTGTCTCTTAAGTTTGAAGAGGTGGGTTTTCTGTTCTATTTCAATTCAGCATATTGTTTGCAGGTGTGTAAGTAGGTGTCTCTGCTAGACACCTGCCTCAGAGAGGAAACTGAGTAGGGGTGAAAATTCCTTGTACCCGAGTACAAGGAACTTTCCAGTGTTACACCAAGTAAAGAAAGGCTAGAGGGTTTTAATACATGTCGAGGTGACATATTGTAGCTATGTGTTGGTGATTTACCTTCTCAATTAGATACAAGAATCTAGCACTGGCACACACCAATTTTTTAAAGATGAAACCCTGTGCAGTGTTACATGGCTTGTTTGCCAGAAGTGGATAACATCAGGCTTGAGCAAAGTCCTAAAGGAGATTAAGGACCAGCTCTTGTATTGGTGCTCAGCATGTTCATTTTCCTTGTTTCTAATAACAACTTTCTGAAATAGAAACTCTATTTCTCTGTGTCCAACTTTGAGAGGTGGGCTGAACAATCATCCTTCTCTGCCTGTGGGCTGTTTGAATGTAGGTAATTTTCTTGCTTTCAGAAACAGGGTCAAAGTTTTCCCCAATCATTTTATGACTTTCTTGAGAACAAAATATCCCATAGACTGGACGTGCAACTGCTTCATGCTGGCAGCAGGAAGCAGTTGGCCAGAAAATATGTACCTCAGAAGCTTTGGCAGAGTAAATGACAACTTGAAGATGATTTTCAAAACATTCATAACTCTTTTATACTTTTTAGATGTTAAAAGAGGTTTCTTATTTCAGGGATGAATTCAAAAGACAGTTTAATGCTGACGTTTCTATAAACTGCACAGCACTGGGACTATGATTGCCTTTCTATGCATTTTTAAGAAGTGTCAGTGCGATTTCTTAATACTGACGATAAGCATTGTTCCTTTGTCTTTTTTTTTTTATTTTTTTTATTTCTTTTTAATTCTTACCCTGAAAAACACGTCAGGGAATTTTAATGACTGTGGTACAATCCTAAGTTGTTATAAGGCAAAATTCTGGAGGGAACTGGCTAAAAATCACGGACAAAAGGTAGTATGGGGACAGTGGATACTGTAATTCCTTTCTCTTGCCATAAGATATGGATGCGTTTATTTGATGTGATGGCTCTTGTTTATGTTACATGAAGAATAGTGTGCAGAGGATATGGGGGAAATATGGGAATAAAAAAATATTAGCTCTCTGAAGACCTGAAAGGGAAAAAAAAAAAAATCGGGGGGGACTGGGGGGGTAGGGCAGAAGGGAAATATTTTAGTCGATATTTTAGTCTTAAAGCATGAAATGATAAAATCAGAAATTCAGGGTGCAGAATTAATTGCAGTGTGCAGAGAAGCAAGTCAGGAAGAAAAGATTTTATAAATGCAGAAGAGGAAAGAGGAAGAAAGAGATAAAAATAGCCCCTTTTTTTTTCTTTTTTTTTTTAACTTAATAGGGCAAAAACAGTGAGCGGTGGATAATATAGAGAAAGCTGAATTATTCAGTTTCTGTATATTCCTGTATTAGGCATAAATGAATGACATTTCTTAAATAAGGCATAGTTAAGAAGTAGGTCTTAACCTTTCAAGAACTGCTTAAGTTTTAAACAAGATACTTTACCTATGCATACCCTGAACTGTCAGGCAGCTGTTAATGAATACCTTGAGTATATTAAATCATTTTAAGGTGGGAGAATCATCAATTGGGTAATACACAATTATTTAGGGACAGTTTTGGAGTAGCATGAAATACAGAGGGAATTATAGTGTATATATTAAATATGCAGTAACAATAAAGTTTGGTCATAGAGGTTTTAATTTAGTCTGGACGCATGAGGAAGGGATAAATATCTGTTATTTCCGCTTTTATAGCTAGTGGTTAGATCATTCATGCTAACAGTTACATCAGACAACAGTACCGATGGATACTGAGATCAACTCTAAACAGCTGTTGCATCACTTTTCTTTAACATAGCATTTTTCTTGAGGAAGCAGTTAGAATTCAGTGATTTTGGAACAGTGTCAAAGGAAAAAGGTAACTGAATGCAGTTGCACACATCTGTATTAGTGTATCATAAAAGTTAAGTTAGGTATAAGGATGCTGGGGAGGGCCTCTTCATTAGGGACTGTAGTGATAGGACAAGGGGTAACGGGTTAAAACTTAAACAAGGGAAGTTTAGATTGGATATAAGGAAGAAATTCTTTACTGTTAGGGTGGTGAGGCACTGGAATGGGTTGCCCAGGGAGGCTGTGAATGCTCCATCCCTGGCGGTGTTCAAGGCCAGGTTGGACAAAGCCTTGGGTGACACGGTTTAGATTGAGGTGTCCCTGCCCATGGCAAGGGGCTTGGAACTAGATGATCTTAAGGTCCTTTCCAACCCTAACTATTCTATGATTCTATGAGCTTAAGAATATAGTTGTTAAGTGGTACATGCATACTCGGAGCTTACATGCAATGACTTAATGATGTGATGACTTGGAAAGCATGATAATATAACTCATCCTCTAATAGCTACCTTGATAGCTTCAGGGCAGTGTTTATATTCTATGTGAACTGTACTTCCTATACCAAACACACTGTTTTACAGTACTGGTGTCCTTGCACCGGAAAATTAAGAATATAACTGATTTTTTTTTTCTTTTTTTGTGAGAAAAATACTACAATTAATGCAATGTAAGTATAACAGTTCTATTAGTTCTGTCAATACAATACCTTTAATTTTAAGACTATAATAATACTGTAAAGATATAAGAGATGATGCTACATGTGTGAACGTCTCTTCTCCCTATTATTTTGTCCTTGGAAGAAGCATAAAGCTCAATTTGGAGGAGAAAGAAACTTAGTTTGTGAATCTTTTGATTACTGAAAGCCATTGAATAAATACGGTCATTAAATCACAGTGAGATTTTGGGGGGAGAGAGAAGCAGCACATATTCAAATGTTCAAGAAGTATTTTTGTCAACGGTTACAATTTGGATCCTTTATATCAACAACTCCCTTACTTCTGCAGGCATTTGCCTGTTGTGATAACTGACTTTCAGTTAATACTCCTGAGATGCTAGTCCAGAATTTTTTTCAAACATAATTAGTAGAATCTTATAATATTGTTCATGGTTTTTAAGTCTGTAGCTTCAGCTAATTATATCTAACAAGTGCTCCTGATTGCCTGAGATGTTACTGTTGACATACACATTTGTAAATACTTATCGATGAAATGTTATGATTTAGCATCTAGTAGGGTTGTTTTTTTATTAAAACAAAACACCTTAATGTCAGCACTTAAAAACCTGCATGTGATATTGTAACAGTTGCTTCTTGCAGTAGTTGTTAATATGCTCATAAGAATTCTGTCATTAGTTACGGGAAGAGCACAACACATAATGCTCTGTTCTTTGTTAGCATTGTGTGTCTATTGAGTGTGAAATGTTTTGGGAGAATAAATTGCAGATGAAATAATCCTAAACCAGTAAGAAAATTTAGATAGGATGGTATGCTAAAAGAGTGGGTATGTAACTGTAGAAATATTACTAAAATTTATTTACCTACTTTGGGCTGTTTTGCAGGAGAGCAAATTGTGTATGAGAAATTGTGTGTTTCTCATTTTTCCTTAGAAAATAATTTGGGAATAGGAGAAAGTTTGTAAGCTAAAATGAATTTTTAGTTGTCATTTCATGTTTCCTATATTTGAATAATAAAAGAGGCTGTTTGATATGTTTTTACAGTGTCTTCGTAGATCTATGTGAATTTTTTTTTTCCTCTTGAGAATGCATAATAGCATTGGACTACATAGGCAGAAAGTGGCTAGCAGGGAGCTAAGCAGGCATGAATGAAATGCTGAGTTTGTTATGTAGTTATCTGAGATGCATGTCATTAACTTTCCTTATGTCTTTGCAAACACAAATTATATCCAAATAGAGAAGTTACAATGCGGTGACTTGTAAGTAGTTAAAAAGAAATTTAAAACATTCTTGATCTTAAAACCCTCTATACTGGTCAGAGGTTGTGTGTCATCATCCTGTGATTAGCGCTATCTCTATTTCATTGAATACCTGCAAGAGGGATCTTCTTGGAAATGCTGTTGTGTGATGATTGCAGTGGTACAACAAAAAGAGTTTTTTCCTTGTGTTAGTGTAGAAGTATAAATAGTATGACATGAATACTAGGTACTGTATTTCCACAAAACTTAACGCTAGAACTGTTGCCTCTTTGATGCTTGTTTAGGGCAAGTTCTGCATGTCGCAGAAAAGAACTTTAACAGAAAAGTCTCCAGCCTTATGAAGGCTTAATTTTTGATGAATTGGAGTCTGAGTTCTGTGTCTTGTCAGATGACATAGCTGGGTCCGCACACGCAGATTCTTGCTTGCAGCAGTGGTGTGCGTTAATGGTTCAGAGGAATATTAAGATTAATTCTTCTT